AGATCTCTGCTTCATCAGCTTCTTTTGGGGGGTCCTAGGTGACATTAGGGGTCTTGGAGACCCCTGATGTCTCCATAAAGAGGACCTGTCACATATTTTGCTATCACATAGGGGGGGTTTATTAGCCCCCGTATGTGATAGCAATAAAAAGTTTAGTGAAAAAAAGTCCCCCCCAAAAAAATTGTAAATAACACATAAAAAAGAATTTAAAAAAAAAACAAAACATTTTTTAAAGTCCCCACCCATACATACTTAAGGGTCACAGGAGGACATACACTAACCTCCTCCCGTGACCAAAAAAGCTCAGAGCTACAGCTCACGTTATATACGGAGACCACCGCAGCCGGGACGGAGCCCGACAATGCTGTCGAGATCCACCCAGCTGCGTGAATGACAGCTGGCTCTACCCATCTAGAGGCAAAGCCAGCCGTACCCGCCCCATCCGTTCCTCCAGTCAGTGCTGGAGGATCGGAGCGGGGAAATCCCTGCAGGGAGCCGTGAGTGACAGTCACGGCTCTCTGCAGGGACATGATCGAGAAGTGAGCGAGCGACAGGAAGCGTTCGCTTACTTCCCGATCGATTGAGCCGACGTGTGACAGTCTCATTGTCACACGTCGGCTTGAACTATGAGGATGAGTGATTTTCTCTCACCTCATAGTTCTCCTTTAAGTTAGAAGAATCCATGGACTAGACATACCACTGCCTGAGCAATGGAATTATTTAACACTGTGATCTTAACTCAAAAGTGACATATGTAAATGGTAAAGGAAACAACTTACTTTCCCCCACCACTTGTTAATGATGGTGCTGGCCTTGTGAGCAAATCTGAGATCTGGGAGGATAACTTGGTTTTGGCTGCAGTTTGCTGCTGCACTCTCACTTCTGCTGCATCTGCCAGATGCATTAGTGTCTTGCGTTCTGGGCTCTCTTCGAAATTTTTGCAACCTATACACTTACATATTGAGGAGCACATGATTTTAGCCTGCGGAGAAAATTAACAAAATTGTGAGTGGAGAGAAAGCAAGCAAAGAGCAATAAAGCCAATCATGGAATTATTAAAAAGACTGAAACCATGCTTGAAATATGACTGAATGCACTGTGAAAGGACTGTCCAACTACAGATGGAAATTGTAGCTTTACATTCCTGTAAGGGTAACAATTTTTAGTAAAAAAAGCTGTGGGCAATGTATACTATACTTCCAATACCATTTCATATAAACATTTCCCAAAAGACACGTGATGGCTGCCATCGCCGGTATTGTATTCTTCAAATCAATGCTGTCTGGCTGTCATACTGACCCTCAGACTTTCGTCTTCTGCATACTTGCTGCAGGTCATTTAAAGTATTAGTTACATATTTATTAGGGTTGAAAAAAAGACACAGGACCTGTGTATGTGAGATTTTGAGTCTCTAAGAATTGCCATAGCCTTGTATTTTATGCTCACTAAGGAAAACATCTAAAAGATGTTTTTATTTATCAAAACTCTCAGCAAGTACCACTACCTGGGGAAGGGAGTTCTGCATTTTCACTGCTCATTTAAAGAGACCCTGTCACCATTTTAAAATTGCAGTTAAAAGCGCAGAAAAAAAATTATCAGGTATTTTAAATGCTTACTTACAGTATTTCCATAGGCGATTTTTTTTTCACGTACAATGTGCCTTTGAACTTGCTAGCAGATTTGACTACTCCAAGAAAAATCTACTCCCTAGCACAGCTTCCTCCCTTCTTGCATGTCATGGCCCTATTATCTTCTGCCAGCGTATTTACGGTCTGTGCTGGTCAAACTCTTTCACTCCTTCCCTCCCCACAAAACCTTTTATGTAGCTGCTGGGGAAGGAGTGAAGGGAAATGCTATAGTGTAAATGATGGTGGAGCCCAGCAGGAATCTCAGGCTTTTTGCATGTCTATACTAGTAAAACTTTTACAGGTAATGGCATATATAAAATATAGAGCTGCAACAATTATTCGATTAAGTCGATTAAAATCGACGATGGAAAACGTTGTCAACGTTTTCCCATCATCGATTCGTCAGCTAAAATTCAAATTTCCCACTCGCCGCTGCATGCCACTAATGCCACGCCCACGTCGGTTAAGCCGCTCACGCCACGCCTACAGCGGTAAACCCGCTCACGCAACGCCGCTTACGCCACGCCCACCACACGCTGAGGACATGCGTCTGGCCCTCTCCTCCGGTTGAGCTTCCCAACTCGCCGCGGTCCGCCGACAACCAACAACGCCGCTGCCCGCTGACAACACCGTCATTCAAGGTCAAGTCGAGATCGGCCGGGAGCTTTTTAATGTTTTCCTTTATAATGTATTATTGCTGGGATTTGTAGTTCCTCTATAACTGGTCAGTGGTAATCTGCATTGCGCATTATACAGCACAATGGAGAATACCACCAGCTATAGAGGACTACAAATCCCAGCAATAATACAATATATACAGCGCAATGCAGAATAACACCAGCTACAGAGGACTACAAATCCTAGCAATAGTACATTATAGTATAATGTACTATTGCTACATTCCTCTATAGCTGCTGGTATTCTGCACTGCGCCGCTGTATAATGTACTATATTGCACACCACACTCTTTTTTTACTTCCACCGCGCCAAGCTTGCTCCCGTGATGGACTACAATCTCAATAGAAACTAGTAGTCCATCACTGGAGCCTTTTTTTTTTTTTATCCGATTAATTGAACTTAATAAATCGGCAAAATAATCGTTAGCTGCAGCCCTAATAAAATACATTAAATGAAATATAATCTAACAAAAATATTTTTTTTAAATCAACAGTCTGGCGACAGGGTCTCTTTAATGTCATCAGTATAACCTATGATACATATTAAATCAAATAAATCAGTAGTCAACCTACATTACAGCTGCCACTTTGGAAACTTGACTTCAGCAAATAAAATCTTGTAATAATGCAGATTTTACTGCAGTTGCTAAGAATTATTTGATGCACAAACAAACACAGTGGCTAACAAAGGTCATAGTAGGACTTTAAATGTTAACTTTTAAAAATGACTTCCAGGTTTCCTATAGTAACAATAAAAATCAGCATAGTGCTTTCAAATGCAAACAAAATTAAAAGTAAAACCCACAATTTACCTTAATGTAATGATTGCTCACTCAGGACTATAAAATTATTGACCATGTCCTAATAAAAAGGTAAACCACACACTGCTATTATACAGTTTGCATGAATTATCTACAGGCAGTCCCCGACATACGAACAACACGTACTTACGAACCGGGGTCCAATTGCGCGCGCCCCCCCCTCGAGATTAGTGCCGCTCCCGAGTCCCGATCCTTGCCTCTGCCACCCGCAGGTCCCGCATTTTAGTGACACAACTACATACTCAGTGCCACAGACTTTACTGCGGTTCATTGTAAAAAAACTTTGTACAATGAACTGCAGTAAAGTCGGTGACACTGAGTGACAGCTGTATGTACCGGCGGCTGCGCGGGGATCCGATGCACACAGGCGACTGTAACTGCCTGTCATTTAGTAGAGCTGTTAGCATAACAGTAGCAAATACGAGACTCTGTAGGCACCGCCAGGCAGCCACATCCTGCTGTTTGGGTCATCGTGAGGACCCTCTCCTGTGATCCCTCCCCTCCACTGGCTGCCAAGGATGCAGGAGAAGAGGTGCTGCAGCCTGCATGTGTTAGGTGAGGTTGGGGAGTGTATGGGTGATGGCTGGCTTGGGGGGATTGGGGGACTGTAGCTGGGCTGGTTCTATTCAGCATTGCTGTATAATGATAATACAGCAATGCTGAATACCACCAGCTATACAGGACTACAAGTCCCAGCAACATTATACAAAGCTGATGGTATTCTGCACTGTTGTATAAAGTATTGCTAGAATCTGTAGTCCTGTATAGCTGGTGGCAGGGGTGGAAAATGTACCTGTTCCGACTTGCATACAAATTCAACTTAAGAACAAACCTACAGTCCCTATCTTGTATGTAACCCGGGGACTGCCTGTACTGTATGTTGGAATAACTCTCTAGAACTTAGAGAATCAACCTCACCTCATAGCATTCACAGTAGTTTTTTAAACATCCAGAACGTTTACAGTTGCATCCTTTGCTGTGTCGCCTGTCAGATTCTCCTTCCTTTCCTTTCCCAATTTTTGGTTTGAAAGCTTCAGGATTTCTATCTAGACAAGCCTGGAAGCAAAGTGGAAGATGAAAAGAGGATGTAAAAGGCATGATCAATAAATATCTATACAACAAAGAAATAAAAATGGGGTGCAGTAAATCTAAAATATTTATAAGCAATGTTGCTGCCTTAATTACATACTTATAAGAGAACTATGGGGTAAGTGTTTTTCCCCATAGTTCCCCTAAGGGTCACGGGTGGATATAAACTAGCGCCCTCCCGTGACCCAAAGCTCAGTATATGGCGAGCTACAGCTCGCGGTATATTGAGACCGCTGCAGCCCGGACGGATCCCGACATTACTGTCGAGATCCACCCAGCTGCGTGAGTGACAGCTGGCTCTGCCTATCTAGAGGCAGAGCCAGCTGTACCCACCCCCATCCGTTCCTCCAGTCAGTGCTGGAGGATCGGTGCGGGGAGTAATCCCTGCGGGAAGCAGTGAGTGACAATCACGGCTCTCTGCAGGGACATGATCGAGAAGTGAGCGAGCGACGGTATGTGTTCGCTCACTTCCTGATCTATTGAGCCGACGTGTGACAGTTTAATTGTCACACGTCGGCTCGAAATGCGAGGATGAGTGATTTTCACTCATCTCATAGTCCTCCTTTAATTATCGGTTTGTGTTTTAAATCCATATAGATAGGGAAGAACTCAGACAATTTTTAAAACCGCACAAATGGTATTGTTCTCACCTTGATTGCTTTTTGTCGTTCGTTTTCATGTTCCAGGTTATTGTAGCAGTTTGTACAGTTGCAGTTGTTACAAAACTCTCCATTAGCAAAGCAGTCACAATAGCTAGAATATATGAAAACTAATTAAGAGACATTCTAAAAAAAATTTTATTGCACTTTATTCGCAAAAGGTCACAAGACCTACAATGCATGCTAAAAAAAAAACTAGTACAAAATGTGAAAATCATTTTATGCAGTACAGATGTGAAGTGACTGGTCATCATATGTGCTTTGAACAAAATATATCTTGTACATTTTACTGCATATCTATCACTATATTATTATTTGTATTGATTTAATTTCTTGCATTAGCAGACAACACATTATAACCAATATCTAACATTGTATCTACCATTAAAGACAGCATTGTATCTAGTACGCTGATATGTCATTCAAGTGTTTGAAAATCACCCCAATTATCTGTGTGGGGTCCTAAAGCAAATAAAGCAGTAAACACTTTTCTGGTGCGTTTATAAAAAAAAAGCTACTCACAGTTTTAGGCACAATGACTTTGTGCAATTACATGGCTTTCTTGGACGATTTGCTGATTCTGAAGAAATTATTCTATGAAGTTGAAAGACAAACGGTGAAAAATAATACACTTTTTTATTTTTTTGTTGGTTATACTTTTCAAACAAAATTGAGGCACCAAATCTACTAGTATGTGGTGTAAATGTTAAATTAATTAATCTTTGAAAGATATATAAATGAATTACACAATGGGGACAAAAAGGTCCCCAATTATTATTTGTCCACTCCCTCACATTAAATCTAATTGTCAATCACTGTGAGAGAACCTTTTCATTAATGTGTTTTATCCATTTATTTTTTTAAAAGCTACCATATGGGAATGAAGGTAGAAAAACTAAGATTTTTGTACCCACCATCAAATAATTTACTTGGAGCCCATTGAGGGACACAGGAAGTCATATACTCCCAGGTTATACTGCCACCTACATGAGGATTTGACAAAAATTGTAGGTCAGCCCAAGATAGCCCCTTGTTCTCCCACCATTCCTCAGTTTTCTAACAAAGCAGTACCAAGAGCATGATCAAGAAGGGATGGGCCTTGCTACTAAATATTCCACGGTCAACTGTTACCGGTATTATAACAAAGTGGAAGCAACTGGGAACAACAGCAACTCAGCCACTAAGTGGTAGGCAACGTAGAATGACATAGCGGGGTCAGCGCATGCTGAAGCGAACACAGAATCCCCAACTGTCTGCAGAGTGAATAGCTACAGACCTCCAAACTTCGTGTGGCCTTCAGATCGGCATAACAGTGCGTACAGAGCTACGTGGAATGGGTTTCCATGGCCGAGCAGCTGCACCCAAGCTTTACATCACAATGTAAAGTGCAAAATGCAAAGCATCGGATGCATTGGTGTAAAGCACCCCGCCACTGGACTCTGGAGAAGTAGAGAGGTGTTCTCTGGAGTGACGACTCACGCTTCTCTGTCTGGCAATTTGATGGACATGTCTGGGTTTGGCGGTTGCCAGGAGAACGGTACTTGCCTGACTGCATTGTGCCAAGTGTAAAGTTTGGTGGAGGGGGGATTTTGGAGTGGGGGTTTTTTTCAGGGGTTGGGCTTGGCCCCTTAGTTCCAGTGAAGGGAACTCTTAGGGCATCAGCATACCAAGACATTTTGGACAATTTTATGCTCTCAACTTTGTGGGAACAGTTTGGGGGTGGCCCTGTCCTGTTCCAACATGACTGCGCACAGTGCATAAAGCAAGGTCCATAAAGACCTGGATAAGCGAGTTTGGGGTGGAGGAACTTGACTGGCCTGCACAGAGTCCTGACCCGATCAACCCGATAGAACACCTTTGGAATGAATTAGAGCGGAGACTGTGAGCCCGGCCTTCTCGCCCAACATCAGTACCTGACCTTACAAATGCGCTTCTGGAAAAATGGTCAAACATTCCCATAGACACACTCCTAAACCTTGTGGACGCCTTTGCAGAAGAGTTGAAGCTGTTATAGCGGCAAAGGGTGGGGCAACTCAATATTGAACCCTACGGACTAAGACTCGGATGTCATTAAAGTTCATGTACGTGTAAAGGCAAGCGTCCCAATACTTTTGGCAACATAGTGTATTTCACAATGGACTCCAAAAAAAGGATTTTACAATGGGTACAAAAATCCTATTTTTTTCCTTATCCTTTGGAGGGACACACAGGAAGTCATATACTGTCAAAACATCAAAAAGGAGTCCACCTGCAGGTTGGGTACAGCAAACAAAAGGCTTACAGAATACGCACACAAAAACGACAGAACTGGGGGTTGTCTGTAGTTCAAAGAGCCACCTAAAAAGGACCTTACAGCCAAAGCTGGCATCGGATGAAGTTTTAACATCTACTTGGTAAAACTTGTATAATGTGAACCGAAGACCAGATGGCAGCCTAGCAAAATTGAACAACAGTTGCCTGTTGGCAAAGAGCTCAAAAGGGAACTTACAGATCTAGTTAAATACCAATTCTAGTAAAAAAGTTTCTTAAAAAGAAAGGGTGGCACCTAATCATTGAGACCACAAGCTTGAATAATGGTCTCTCTGAGCCACCAAGACATGGTGGAAATGAGAAGTTATTTCACCCTTATCCATCAGGAATATATATGTATAAAAAAAAGTGAGTTTCTCAAAAGGAAGCAGAGGCTTCGAGACAAGCTCTTGCAGCCAGAACTACAACTAGGCAATGAATGCAAATCTTCTGATTAAATGGAACCAGACAGAGGGATGGAAGAACAATGTCCAGGTTGAGGATAAAGGCCAAAACTACCTTAGCAAATTCTGGGCCTCTACACTACCTTGTCCTTGGGCAAGACTAGAAAATGTTCTTTCCAGGATGAGGCCACCAGCTCAGATATTCAACTCACCGAGGTGATGGCAACAAGAAAATCTACCTTGTGGGTGAAAGTGGAAAAGGAAATATCACTAATGGGATCAATGGGCAGAGAGAATATCTTCAGTTGTGACATGCCATCATAGCACGAGTCAAGCCTTTTGTTTAAGCTTTTTTGATAACCAAGGTGGCTCAGTCAAATGTGAAAAAATGACTTAATTATAAGGATTTATGATGCCTTATTGACTGGTCAGATCTCTAAGCAAACGTTGCCGTGTTGGGATAATACCCCAAAGGTATCTCTGTCACCTACAAAGAGATTGACGCAATTATTTATTTTACATGGGGTATATTATACTGCCCAAAAATTATTCTGCGTGTAAAGGAGGTATTCAGGGGCATGTCCTAGATGTCAGGGGGAACCTAGGAATCAGACTCTTATGCTGTGGAAATGCCCCAAACTTTTTCGCTACTGGGAGTTGCGACTTCAATTAATAATGCACACCATGCAGACATACCTCTAGACCCTACGGTTTGTTTGTTGAACTTTGTTAAAGAAAACAATATTCCTCCAGAGGTCTGTTCCAAATAATGCGGCTTATTTTGGTGGCGAGAAAGTTGATAACTTCAAAATGGTTACCCCCAACCAGCCTACTTTGGAGGAATGGTGTACTGAAGTTAAACTTATGCTACCAAAGGAAAAGTTGGTTTATCATCATAGGGATTGCCCACAGAGGCACTCAAAGTTGTGGGACCTGTGGATGATGGTACCTGGCTCTAGTTATGAGCCACCTGCTCTAGTTATGAGCCATCTACTTTGCTAACTTGCTGTTCTTTTAAATTGATATGTGGTGGTTCTCTATTTTGCTCTATTTCCTATGCATACTGTGTATGCTGTACTATATTCACAGGGGTATGGACAGTACTTTATTAATGTGGTTGGCTTGATTTGGTTTCCTTCTGTTTATTTGGTCGTACCATCACTACTACCCTGTTTTGTAGTTTCTTGCTAAATTTCATTGACTGCCTCCATAGTTCTATGTATTTTATGGTTATACTACTGGATGATGGTACCTCCCACCGTTCTCCTTTGAATTTTGCCCAATTTATGATGGAAGTAGAAAAAGTTACTGTATTTTGGAGGATGATGTAATTGGTACGTTTCTTCTTTATCTGTGTTTGTAGTCTTTTTTACAAACAAAAACTTTAATAAAAATAAGAATAAGAAAAAAAAGAAAGATAAATGGCAGGAAAAAGAGCATGTTTGCCACTTAACTTAGCAGATGATGTCAGCGCTCTATCCCTCAGCGTTAAACCCTTTTGCGTTAAAATCGATGGTAAGGAGGGAAATTTAAAGCCAACTGGGTGTCCAAATAATGAGGTAGCGTCCAGTGCTCAGCCCAAAGTGAACCTTCAGAGACAGTTTGCCAGTGTTGAATCCCCCCATAGGCTGTAGTTTAACGTGACAGTATAAGACTTCTTGTGTCCCTCAATGGACAAGAAAGAAAATATTTTCCAATTTGGGCCTTCCTCCCACATATACTGAAATGGATCTGTATTAAAGTTATACAGATAAACTATAAAGAGCTCTATCTAGCATCATGTGTCATTGTCACCAGGGAACTGCAGTTCTTGAAGTCGCTATTTGCAGATTAAAATAAATCAATCCTGGCTTTGTGACTCTACAAACTATACCAACATAAATGCAGGCACCTTTAAGTGCTTTACATAACTGTTAGCAATTTAGCAAGTTTAATGTGGATACAGGTTCACTTTCAGTATATGCTTTTTCAGTAATAAGTAAATAAATATTTACATAAACATACTATTGTACACTGAGTGGCCAGATTATTATGACCACCCTATCAGTACTTCGTTGGGCCACGAGATGACTTTGTTGGGCCGCCACGTGACTCCACAAGATGTTGAAAGGTTATGCGAGGAATCTGACATTGCACTGTTGCCCTTCTGTTGTCTTGTACCAGTCTTGCCACTCTCCGTTCTGCCCTAACATTGACTAGTCGCTGACGGCCACAATTCGCACGCTCAGACCCAGATTTTCGTCTGACAGTCCAGTCTTTAAACACTTTAACAACAGCTGCTCTTGAACATTTAACGAATTCTGCTGTTTTGCTGATACTCGCTCCATGGCTCCGAGCGCCAACAATCATCCCACGTTCAAAGGCTGTTAAATCGCGTTGTTTACCCGTATCTTCAGAAAAAATTACTTCTACTGTAGTGGGAAACAACCTGCTTCCCTATTTATAATAGTCTGGCCCTCTAGCAACTTCAGCGCGAAATTATAGCTAATTTGCCTACAAACGTCAGGTGGTCATAATAATCTGGCCACTCAGTGTATATATGCTATTTATTTTATAATGTACATATTTACTTTTAGATCCAATTCTTTACAATACATCGATTTAAAAATTACAAAACAAAAATTATATTCACCCATTTAGTGGTCCCCGAGGCTGATTCTGTGAACTCTGAGTCCCAGATAATCCTGCATTGCTTGCTATGGAAACATATGAAGACTGCTGCAACTGTGCAAAGGAGAGGGGAAAAAAAAAGTTAACTGATGTTCACAACAACGTTTCAAAATCCACACTTGACAGGTTAGTAAACTATGCAGCTTAGCTTTATAAACTGACTAACACTGGTCAGTAAAAACTCAAACATGTTATACCAAACCTCTGCTCAAAATAAAACAAACAAAAAAAAACCAAAAAGATGAGAAATTCGACTTTGACTCTTTACAATAAATAATTATGTATAACTGGTGTTTGTAACTTCTGCAAATGGTTTTTTTTTTACCACACACTGTTAGAATTTTGGCGGATACACTGGAATTGGCCAAAATCCTTACAGTGGGTGGCGGACCTGCCGCCTCAAGAAAAGTCAATCACTGAATCAACTTGTCAAAGACACTGGGCTAAACATTTTCAGCAGTGACTGCAGCCATTCCGCTGTCAGACAACAATAGAGTGAAAGGAGAAAATGGTTAGATTTTTTTTTTTTCCATTTGGCATGCGCTCAGGTTTCGAATGCTGCCTATAACCCTAAGGAGATTCCCTCTCTCTTCCTGTTGACATCCTGTGACTGGCAAAAGTAGTGAGAGGAAATATCCCCAATGGGCGCAAAGAAATCAATAAGAAAACAAGTTCTAACCCTTCCCCATTCTGTCCAAAACAAAGGGGGGGGGGGGGGGGGGGGGGGGGTGATGTGTGGGGAGGAGGGTGCAGGCAATGGTGATCTATATTCCCTGGATCAACAATCTCTGATGCTTAATATACCTATAATAACTCAATATCCAGTAATATTCTGTGCATTTAGGAATACATCCAGATTTTTTTTTTTTAAACAATTAACTGAGCTAGCTAGAACTAACTCCTGGGGGAGTCTATTCCATTGTCCATTCATTAATACCTAGCAAAAATAAAGCTGTTGTAAAACTGCCTTAAAACCAATTATTCATAATGTTTATGATCTGTAAATTAACAAAAGTTTTAATTTTGAAAATAATATTTAACTAAATCTAGGTATGTTTGTGGGGGAACTAACACTTTAACAACAGCTGCTCTTGAACATTTAACGAATTCTGCTGTTTTGCTGATACTCGCTCCATGGCTCCGAGCGCCAACAATCATCCCACGTTCAAAGGCTGTTAAATCGCGTTGTTTACCCGTATCTTCAGAAAAAATCACTTCTACTGTAGTGGGAAACAACCTGCTTCCCTATTTATAATAGTCTGGCCCTCTAGCAACTTCAGCGCGAAATTATAGCTAATTTGCCTACAAACGTCAGGTGGTCATAATAATCTGGCCACTCAGTGTATATATGCTATTTATTTTATAATGTACATATTTACTTTTAGATCCAATTCTTTACAATACATCGATTTAAAAATTACAAAACAAAAATTATATTCACCCATTTAGTGGTCCCCGAGGCTGATTCTGTGAACTCTGAGTCCCAGATAATCCTGCATTGCTTGCTATGGAAACATATGAAGACTGCTGCAACTGTGCAAAGGAGAGGGGAAAAAAAAAGTTAACTGATGTTCACAACAACGTTTCAAAATCCACACTTGACAGGTTAGTAAACTATGCAGCTTAGCTTTATAAACTGACTAACACTGGTCAGTAAAAACTCAAACATGTTATACCAAACCTCTGCTCAAAATAAAACAAACAAAAAAAAACCAAAAAGATGAGAAATTCGACTTTGACTCTTTACAATAAATAATTATGTATAACTGGTGTTTGTAACTTCTGCAAATGGTTTTTTTTTTACCACACACTGTTAGAATTTTGGCGGATACACTGGAATTGGCCAAAATCCTTACAGTGGGTGGCGGACCTGCCGCCTCAAGAAAAGTCAATCACTGAATCAACTTGTCAAAGACACTGGGCTAAACATTTTCAGCAGTGACTGCAGCCATTCCGCTGTCAGACAACAATAGAGTGAAAGGAGAAAATGGTTAGATTTTTTTTTTTTCCATTTGGCATGCGCTCAGGTTTCGAATGCTGCCTATAACCCTAAGGAGATTCCCTCTCTCTTCCTGTTGACATCCTGTGACTGGCAAAAGTAGTCAGAGGAAATATCCCCACTGGGCGCAAAGAAGTGTAACTATTTCCTTTACCCTCCCCCCACAGTTTATATATTTCTACCTATTACTGTACTCATCACCACCTGCTCATTCTGAATACACATGCCAGGGTTACCTCCAGGACACTGGGGCATGTTCACCCGTATAAAACTCCCTCTCTTCTGACTTCTCTCACACTTCTGCTTCTCCTGACTTCAGGGGATATCTCTCCCAGTCCTGGCCCTCTCTTTTCTAATACTCACCCTCCAAACCAGCACTGCCTTTCCCCTGGCAGCAGCTGTAATCCGCGCACCCCGATATCTATTCCCCTGCTTCCTAGAACCCGTCCTTCTTTCTCATGTGCCCTCTGGAATGCCCGCTCTGTCTGTAACAAACTCACCGCTGTGCATGATCTTATCTCTAATTCCTTTAACATGCTAGCAGTTACTGAAACCTGGCTTCAGGAATCCGACTCTGCCAACTCTGCCTACCCTGCTGCCCTCTCCCATGGTGGCCTCCAATGGACGCACTCACCCAGACCCAATGGACGGAAAGCAGGTAGAGTGGGAAACCTATCCCTGCAATGCACAGAGAAGTAGATACCCCCAGAATGGTTGAGAGGTTTGGGTCACCCATAGCAGCAGGACAGTCCCCTCTGTGTGACGGTATTACCGTTAGGCCCAAAGTGTATAGCAAGGCCTCAGGTAGTCACAAACTCAGGCAGCAGGTGCTGATGAGGGTCAGACAGCTGGAGATGTCCAGGTCACTGTAGGAACAGGCCAGAAGTCGGAGTTTCACATGGTGCTTTGCAAAGCAGGAGTAGGAGCAGGGTTTTTACCATTATACAGGATTGCACAGCACTTTACAAAGTGAAGGGAGACAGTACAGTTGCAATACAATTCAATACAGGAGTGTTAGGAGGGCCCAGCTTGCAAGAGCTTACAATCTAGAAGAAGGGGTAAGCAATATAAAAGGCATTGTGAGGCATGAGCTGTTGGAAGAAGTAAAAGGTACAGTTACTATGTGGAGGTAGGCTAGGTAGGTAGCTACAGTTACTATGTGGAGGTAGGCTAGGTAGGTAGCTACGGTTACTATGTGGAGGTAGGCTAGGCTTCCCTTAAGTGAGCAGGGTGATGATTTCTCTATGCTGACTAGTGGAAAAGAGAGTTTAGAGCGCACACTCGACACTCCACCCAGCAGATGATGTCAGCGCTCAGCCCTCATTATTAAACCCTTTCTGCAGTGAAACCCATGGTAGTGGGAAATTTAAAAGGCACCCAATCGGTCTACTCAACAGAGTGAGTCTCCATTAAGGCATTGACATAGCTCTGGGCATGCAAAGTGCTCTGTGGCAAACGTTAATCAATACATGAGGTCTAGAAAGCTCCACAAGCATAACCCAGTGCACAGAGGTCACACTCCAGGCTAACCCCCGCAACATCTAGTCCCATTGGGTCTGGATACAGTACTCTAAAGCCAAGTTGAGGAATGGCTGATCTGGATAATGGCCATGTAGAGATCAGCTTAGGCAGCGATGTAGTGAGAAATCTTTGTTGAAATCAATAGGAGGAAGACATTTTTCTCAGCAGGCCTGAAGAAAAGGCGTCCTTCTTCCTAAGTTACTAGCACAAAAACTGAGGCATGCTGGACAGAGGAGTTTATCCTGAGGCTGATCTACAATATTTTGTTTGCCAGTGTCCAATCCTCCTCTAGGTGGCAGTATAACCTGACAGTATCTAATTAATGGGGTCCCTCAATGAGCAAAAAGGAAAAACAGTTTTTGCTGGAGTAAGGCTCCAATTATTTTAATTAGACTACATGGGAAGTTTGAAGAGTGGAAATGAAAACCCCTAGGTCACAAAATGTGTTTTAGGCTACCAGTGACTAGAGTGCTTCCCAAAGAAAAAACAATATACTCAATGGCAGGGTACAAATAAATAAGCTATGCCCCTTATGTATTATCTAGGGATGCACCGATACCGATACTGGTATCGATATCGGTGCCGATACCGAGTATTTGGGCGAGTACTCGTACTCGCCCAAATGCTCCAATGCCTAGTCAATAATTCCTATATCAGGAAGCCGGGCAGCGTGTCATTACATGCTGTCCGTTTTCCTGATTGGCCGAGAAGCGGCTCCATGCTCTCTCATCAATTGTGATGAGAGAGCATGGAGCCGACTTCCCGGCCAATCAGGAAGCCGGGCGCCGTGTAATGACGCAGCGCCCGGCATTCTGATTGGCCAGGAAGCCGGCTTCATGCTCCCTCATCATCTCATGACGAGGGAGCATGGAGCCGGCCTACCGGCCAAATCAGAAAGCTGGGTGCCACGTCATTACACGGCGCCCGGCTTCTATGATTGGCCAGCAATGCGGCTGTGGCTGGGTACCGGAGGAAGGCCGCTGCTGGCTGGAGGCCCCGGGGGTGACAGGCTGGACATGCCGAGGTGAGAGGGGACAGAGATCCGCACTGCAGAGACATGCTGGATCTTATTATTATGGGGATTCGTATGGGACGGCTTTCTTGTTAATCAGGAAGCCGGGTGGCGAGTCTTTACACGCTGCCCGGCTAATCAGGAAGCCAGGTGGAGAGTCATTAATTACACGCCACCTGGCTTCCTGAATGGGACTTCCGGTACTCGGTAATTAGTATCGGCGAGTACTGAAAAAAAGTATCGGTACTCGGTACCAAAATACCGGTATCGGTGCATCCCTAGTATTATCATGCTAAATTTTAAAGTATAAATGCAGTGTCACTTTACATTATTGATCTGAAGTAGAATTCCATCCACAAGGTGTGCCTTCTATTTTTTTTTTTTTTTTTTCTGGTGGCAACAAGGAACAAGAAAATCTCCAACAGGGAAACAGACAGCAATAAATCCTAACAGAGCTTGCAATTTGCTTATATAATGGGAGTATAAAAAAAAATAATTTAGTAGAAAGAAACAGGTTATTACTACCATTGTCCAAGTGATACCTATTCCCCTCATTTTCTTTTAATATATGTACCCAATTTCTTATCCTGGTGTTATATGGGCAGAAGGAGAGAGGAAATTTCCAAATGGAGGAAGAATAGTAGGCCTTAGATGCAGACAAAGTACTTATGAGGAAAGTTTTGAAGGATGACTGTCTAGCACCTAAAGTCCCACCAAAATATCCTCCAGAAGCTCTAGATGCACCCAGGATGACTACCTATCACCTATAGTCCCACCAAGATATCCTCTTGAAGCTCTAGATACACCGAATTTCTTCCTGCTAATGAAAAAATTAGACAAAGCTAAAACTAAGCTAAAGTTAATGAATGCTCCTGAATTTCTTGAGGATCATTAATTCAGTTCACGGAATACACATACTAATTTCCAAGAGATGTGTGGTTTGTTTTTTAATCTTACAAGATTACTCTACAATAGGATTGCATTTTCCATGGATAGTGGGGTACAGTGCTGTGGCCCAGATTGGCAGAGGTTGAAGAGATTACTATGTAATCACTAACCTGAGTAACATACTGAGCAGGTAGGACAGCATAGCCAACGTTTCCAGTTCCTGGAGCAGGCGTCAGAACAGTACCTGGAGGAAGATTAGTGAGGTTAGGCTGAATCTGTGCCAATGGTGTAGCAGGCATGAGCAGTCGCTGCTGTGGTTGGCTGGTGGTCACGATCTGTGTAGCTGCATTTAATGGCTTTGGGGCCACCTGAAATGAGAAAGACGCTAGTAAGCACATATATAGCACAGGTAGAATATTGATGTAAACGTAATTAAATTATTTGTCAAAACGTTTAACCTGCTCCCGATAAAGGTATATTTGTAAATAACCTCTCACATGGACAAGTGCACGTATCATGTTTAAATATATTCACCGTATTGGTATAGTGTAAGTGTTACATTGTTAGGTTGTAAAAAATTTAATTTTTGTAATTAACGTAAAATCAATTTTTTTTAGAGTCCATTGGGGGGGGGGCACAGTAATTCAGATTGTACTGCCACTTGCAGCAGGTTGGGATATTGGAAAACAAAAAAGTTGTAAGCCACCCCCCCATATAACCACTCCTCTACCCAGCATTCTTCACTTTTGTGAGCAAGCAGCACACAAGAACATTTAAACAAGGGGAGTATGCCAAAGAGCAGTGGAGGCTAGAGGATCAACCTTTTGCTCAAACTAGGGCAGCAGAGTTGAAACCCTAGGATAAGTGGTCCCCAAAGGGAACTGTAGACAAAATAAGTCCACAAGAGAAGACCATCTGGTCTACAAATGAAAGGCCCAAGCCTTACACTTACAACAGTTGGAATCAGGGCGGGAAATAACTAGAATAGGAATGAGGTTGCCTAGGCAGAAAACCCATCCACATGAGATATCCAAAGAAAAGAAGCTTCACAGTTTAATATCCAAAACGATAGCAAAAAGACGTCTGACGCTGGTAACAGCCCAGTGGTGCTAGCCCTGAAGTGATCCTGACTGACTTGGGATGTATCCATACAAGGAAAGGCCAGGGTGAAAGTATACTAAAATAAGCTCTGGTCACCTCCATACTAAAAAAGAACCGAAGGACGCAGGACCCCACCAGTCAAAAAAAAAACATCAGACTAATTTCCTTGCTCCTGTTTACGTTTAAACCTTCTTCAACTCCTAGTCCAATCTGGCTTTCTCCCGCAACACATTACAGGAAATTCTTTACTAAAACTAATGACTTGCTAACTGCTAAAACCAATCCAACGACCACTACTCCATACTTATGCTCTAAGCCCCCATTCACACCTAGGCGTATTGTAATATGCACGTCTGTCGCGCGTTTTTTTTACCGCGATTCGCGGTAAAAAAGTTGCGACCGTCGCGCGATTCCAAAGGCTACTTGGCTGTATCCCAATGGAAAACGCCCTACAAAAACGGCCCAAAGTAGTCCCGGGACCTTTTCAGGCGTGGGCTGTTTTGTAGGGCGTTAGGGACGGGCGGAAATACGGCAAGGTGGGAACGAGGGCATTGACTACAATGCAATTTATATTTTTGACCGTTTTGTAGAGCGTTCGTCGAGCGTAGAACGCCCTACAAAACGGTCAGGTGTGAACGAGGCCTTAGGCTTTCTGCTTCCTTTGACACAATCAATCACATGCTCTTCAAAAAAACAAAGAAAAAACAAACAAATTCACTATCTTGGCCTCAAAGACACTGCTCTCTCATGGTTCTCCAACAATCTTCCTCAAGCCCCTTCTATTCTCCATTTTTACCTCCTCCCTCGGTTAGTTGATAACCTCCTATGGCTCCCAATACCACCTCTATTCTGATGAAACCCAAATCTATCTCTTTACTCACCCCTTTTGCTTCCTCATGCATCCCTAATTCACTCACCAACAAAAATGTCAAACTCAATCTGTCCAAATCTGAGCTAACTATTTCCTACTCCGTGTTTCCCTCGTCCAACTTCTCCATCTTGACCAACAGCACAAAGATCAACCCCTACCCACAGACCTGGATTCTAGGTGTAATCCTGTATTCTGAAAACTCATTTAAGACCCACTGTCACTATCCAAATCTTGCTGCCTTAACCACCTCCACATTTCCAAAATTCGCCCCTTCTTAACAAATGACACCACAAAGCTTCTAATGCATGCCCTTGTTATCTCTTGCCTTCACTATTGCAAAGCTAGCAAAAAAATATATATATATATATTTTGTTTTGGCAGAGTTGAAACAAAAAAAGGTATGCTGGGTAAAGGAGCGGTTATACAGTGGCTGGCTTACAACTTCTTTGTTTGACAGTGTCCTAACCGCCTGTAGGCAACCGTAGAACCCAACTGTTTGAGTTTCTGCGTCCCTCAATGGACGATGAAGAAAAGACATGTCCATTGAGGTTAAACAACGGCAAAAATAAATACTGTAAATTAAAAATCTGCATTCTCAGAACTTTAAAATGTACAGATACACCAGAGGAAGGAAAGAAAAAACTTTTGTTTTTTTCAACAATCTACAGAGACAGCAAAAACTAGCTCATGCGAAGTCTTATTTCACAGCTCCATCTGTAAAGAACCCTTTCTGTATGCAGAGGTTAAACCTCTTTATGCTTTCATTATTTTCAATAACCTTAAAGTGGTCAAACTTTCCACCAAGTTAACAATATGGACCATTTGTGTATTTATACAAGGTGATCATATTCTTCCATAAATGCCTCATGTCTACTGAAAATAATTTCAGTTAATATTTCCTCACAACTGAGGTCCTCCATATCTCCTATTAATTTAACTGCCCTCCACTGCACACTCTCACTACAAGTTGGACGTGAATATAGACTATAGGTCTCCCTAGGCTGTAGATTATAGGCCTACAACTCTACCTCCTCCTCTCTTCCTCTTTCCGTGGCGGTCCCCCAAGGTTCTATCCTTGGGATCCTTCTATTCTCTGTCTACACCTCCTCCCTTGGTCAGTTGATAACCTCCCATGGCTTCTAGTACCATCTCTATGCTGACAGCACCCAAATCTATCTCTCCACTCCTCAGCTCACCCCCCGTCTCCTCACATATCACTAATCTACTCACAGACATATAAACATAGATGTTAAACCACTTCTTCAAACTCAATCTGTCCAAAACTGAGCGTATAATATTTTCTCCTCTACGTGTTCCCTCCCCTGACTCCTCCATCACATTCAACAGCACAACGATTAACCCCTCCCATCAAGCCAGCGTGCTCAGAGTAATCCATGATTCTGAGCTCTCCTTTCAGCCCCACATCCAATCACTATTTAAATCTTGCCGACTCAAGCTCCATAACATTTCCAAAATACGCCCCTTTTTAACAAACAAAACCACAAAGCTTCTAATTCACTCCCTTATAATCTCTCGCCTCGACTACTGTAACTCCCTCCTTGTTGGCCTACCACTAAACAGGCTATCCCCCCTTCAGTCTATCATGAATGCTGCCGCCAGACTCATCCACCTCACCAACCGTTCAGTGTCTGCCGCCCCTCTCTGCCAATCTCTCCACTGGCTAATTGCCCAACAAATACAATTCAAACTGCTACCAACTACAAAGTCATTCACAACTCTACCCCCGACTACATGACCAACCTCATCTCAAAATATCACCCAAACTGTCCTCTCAAGACCACCTCCTCCAATGCTCGCCTCCAGGACTTCTCCAGAGTGTCTCCTATCCTCTGGAACTCCCTACCCCAGTCTGTCAACTTACCTCCCACTCTGCCCACCTTTAGGCGATCCTTGAAAATGCATCTCTTCAGGGAAGCCTATCCCACCTTCTTTTACTTCTTCCACTAACTCAATCTAAACAGTTATTACCTTTTGTTATCACTTGCCCCTCCTACCAGATTGTAAGCTCTCACATGCAGGGCCCTCCTAACCCTATTGTACTGAAATTGTATTTTAACTGAATTATCTCCCTACATTTTGTAAAGTGCTGCGCAAACTTTTGGCGCAATATAAATCCTGTATAATAACAACAGGTTCACATTATGGGTGATGTTAGTTTGCAGCATCTAACAAGCTTTGTAGCCAGTCATCAAAAAAAAAAAAAAAACCACGTTCTTTTCAATTCTTCTTACTCAACACTTAAAGTCAACTTTACCCAACTATTATGTCAGTTTTATGCATGTACCTGGGAGCCAATTCATCTGTCAACTATTTCTCAGAGATTCAAATGTCAAGAAAAAATGCACTCACTTGTTTGACAGCCTGTGCTGGAACTATAGGAACAGACATCCGCACTTGTGTAGCATTTACCACCACTGGTTTAGCTGGAAAGTAAAAGACATTACTCGCGTTACTTTACTATCCAGATATTGAAAAAAACCCAGCATGGTAATCATGTGATATATTCTGCATGGAAGAGAAGCAGCCACATACACGTAGGATAGATACAAAAAAACAAACAAACATACCATGCTGAAGAGGCTGGGAGCTGGTGCTCGGGTTCTGGCCAAGTGTGACGCTGCTTGCTGTTGATGCAGTCACAAGCCGTACATAATGAAACTTGCTTCCAGGGACTTGAATCTGCTGCACATTTGGAGCTGCTGCAAGTGGGATGATTGTTTTGAATTGGGGTGTTGTATTAACACCACTAACTGTTATTGTCTGAACTGTTGGTTTTACAGTCTGAAGAAAGAAAAATAGACAAATTGCTTCTAATTTAATATCAGCTTTTTATGTATAATGCTTTTGGGGGGTAAAAAAGGGATTTTCATATAAACAATATTGTAGTGATACAAACCATTGTTAAATATAATATACTAAACACCAACAGCTTCAATGTAAATATTTGGGAATTGTGAGTGTTTTAATAAACACTGGAGATGTTTACCAATATGAATAGACCTAAGGCTGGGTTCACACCTGGGCGTTTGCTATATGTGCGTTATGTGCGTTTTTGCCCTTGCGTTTGTAGTGCGTTTTTCTGTCCAATGAAACGCGTGTTTGACGCGCGTTTTTTAACTTCCCTGGCGGTATGATTATTATTTTTTTCCTTTTTTGCTCTGTTTTTCGTTTTTTACTTTTAAACTTCCCGCCGGTTTCGCCCCCCTGCGACGCGGACGATCACAAGGGACGGAACCCGGAAGCGGCCGGAGGACACAGCGGGGATCGCGGATAAGGTAAGAGACGCTACGCTGTATTCCCGAGTGTGGCTCGGGGGTACCGCTTATGGTACAGAAAATTAACCCCAAGCCACACTCGGGAATACCGCTAGGGAGGTAAAACAATGGAAACGAGCTGAAATCAGCCCCATCGCGCAAAAAAGAGGCTCAAGTACTTTTTCGCGCGTAGGGCATTTTTTAGCGTGACAAAACGGGCTGAAATACGCCCAGGTGGGAACCATGTCCATAGCAATTAATAGGATTTCACGTCTTGAGCGTTTTTCAGCGCTTCGAACAGCGCTGAAAAACGGGCAGGTGTGAACCCAGCCTAAGGGTCCCATATATAAAACAGTAGTATGGACTTACTGCTACTCAAAAAAACTAAACTCACATTTATTAAGCACAGTTGGTGCTCTGTAAATTTGCTTAGGGACTCTGAGGGCTTGTTCACACCAAGCGCGTTCCAGGAGCAGAGCAGTTATAGACCGGATCAAAACTGCGTCCAATGTATTCCAATAGTATTTTGGGCTCTGGTTCACACTGCAGCGTTCAGTTCCAGAGCATGTAAAAAAAAAAACTGCAGCAAGTCCTTTTTTACCTGCTCTGGAACGTGTGCAAACGCCATGGAACGCACTGAAAACCCATTCTAAACGAAAAAAATATATTTTGTTTACCAAAAACGGCCCGGAACGCATCAAAAACACGACAAAAAAACGCAGTATAAACACACTGCACTGGGTGTGCAGAAACTCATGCAGATCTGGTCTGCATTTGGTGTGAACAAGCCCGGAAGTAAACGCATTACAATTAAAATGGACAAAAAAAAAAGCATCAGGTAGAGAGACCTATGACACAAGACAGGCTTCAAACTGCAGAATGCATTTTATAAATGTAGGCTGTGGTATAGGTTTGTTGAGTACAGTGGAGAGCGGATAGCTATATAAATAGAATGCCTAGTATACTATGTTTGTAAAAGGGATCATAGGGAAAAGATTTATATGCTTTTAGTGCTTCTGTGCTCACCACAGAAACCAATATTTCCATCGACATGAAAAAATGTAATGGATAAAGTTTTACTCTGCTATGAAAATACAAGACAACACAATGCAACATGGCAGGGTTTATAAACCCAATGCTAGCATCACCATATACGTGTGTCAACTGGACCTTTTTTTATACAGTTCAGCAAATTATCTATTTAAGCAATGTTCCAAAGGCTACTGAAGATAGTTATAGCTGCAACGACTGGAAATATAAAAGCTCATCAGCTATTTATATTCTACAACTTTCAAACCAGATAGTAGGCATTGACTGAATAATCATTTGGAGTTTTAAAACTCACTGCTGGATTATTGATCTCTGCCACCTTTTGCTTTTTTATTTTTAAGGCCGATCTATTACTTTAAGGGGGTTAAAATAGGGCTGCCGCCTAAAAAAAAAAAAAAAAGATTAAAAAGAGGGCATTTTTTACTTTTTTCTGATCTCTTCAGCTAGGTCCAATGACATCATGGGTCTTCTTTGCCCTATTCTTCCTCCAGCAGAGGGTTGATCCTAAATGCTGCAGAGATTGGTCCCTTGTAAGCCTTGGTAAAGATGTCACCAGCACACCATATTGAAATGAAGAACACGTCTTTTTATTGACGCTTCATGTCAAAACAAATAGCAACGTTTCAGGGCCACACAGGGTCCCCTTCATCAGGCTTGAAATGATGATAAGCCCTTGGCTCCCAGAAATGGGTTGAATGATGCTGGGTGTCATTCAACCAGGAAGAGTATCGGCAGCTGGGAGTCAGAGCAGTCATTCTGCAGGGGACAACGCTGGCGATTTGGTGAGTATTGCTGTAGTAGGAGTGGCTTTTTATTTTTTGGGGCTGCCAGGGACTGAATAAAAAAAATAAAAACACTTTGCCCAAGCTGGAGTTGGATTTTTAAAATTGTAAAGATATAGTAAACATTTTTAAAAGCAGAAACAGCACCATAAAAAAGGGCTTAGCACATACATACTAGAGATGCACAGATATCAGTGCCGATACCTGGCATTTTCGCGAGAACTACCTGGGCCCTGGTGCTCCACCACTGTCCTGAAATCAATAGTCTGTAGTTTTAGAGAAATTGTCACATGGCACTAAACAACAATTTCAGTACTTGGTATCTGTGAGTACTTGGACAAGTATTGGTACTTGGTCTGGAAAAATGGTATTGGTATATCCCTAATTTTATATCTATATAGATATCTAGAGGTCTATATAGATATCTATATATAAAAACACATCCTTCATTAAAACAGAGATGCACAAATCCCAGGAGCCCCGAAGCCAATGTTCCTTAAAAATTACAGCTGCCTCTTAACTTTTGAGTATTTCTCTAGTCTTGGAGCTGAAAAAGTATCTGTACTTGGTATCTGAACATCCCTAAAATATATACACATGTGCAAGTGTACACCAAGATTTGTTTTTTTTCCCCATTACAAAACCCCAAAGAGAAGTCCTCTTAACTGGCTAGTAGAGTTGAATTTGAGGGACTTCTCACTTCTCAGCATTCTCTCCAGGGCTTATCAGAACACGAAAGATATAAATAAGGTACAGCTGAAATACACAGTGAGGAAAATCAATCTATAACCACTTTCGACTGTATTAAGTGTACAAACACATTATAAATCTCACATTGAAGTGTTGAACCAATAATAAAATCAGTCACTTATTTCTGGTCTCTGGATCTTTTTACGCTCAATTAAAAAAAAAAAAGGAAACTTTAGAATAGTTCACTGACCAAAGAAAAGCCAAATTGATTACCTGAGCAATTGTGCTATTAGTAATAGCCTTTGCAGGAGAAGAGGAAGTGGATGTCTGAACACTCAGAAGCTGCTGACCAAGAGCCATACTTATGGGCACACCAACTGTCTTCTGAGGAGAGCTGGAGGGCTGAGATGCAACCGATACCACAGTGACCTGAGGAAGTAATATAATGACAGATTTAACAAGGTGGGACACTTCACAACTCCTGGTTTTATACAGACCATGTTTTACATAACATCTGAGAGCCTACCAATTTAGAAATAACTTTATCACTACTTATAATACCATATAATAGTATATTTAGTTCAAAACAAACTGGTTTCTTTTGGTGGAATTGCCTTACAGAAAAAACTTTTGTATGCATTTTAAAAGCAAAAATACACATATAAAACACAAATATATGCACATAAATATACACAAATAAAATGGACTATGCTTGTTGAGACATTTAAACTAACTCTAAACTCATATAAAAAGTGACTAAAGTGATATTAAATTAGTATCTATTATTCCAATCCTCAATATGCAAACAATGTGAAAATATGCAAAACAATATTAAGCAAACCAAAATAATAATGTATCTTGCATCAATCTATAAACTCTCTGCTACATAATTGTCCATCTTATCAAAGTGTTAATAATAAAACGACGTGATATTCCTCCTTTTGTGGTTAAAAACACTCCAGCACCAATTAAACAGATGTATAAATGTCCATCTTATCAGACATAATGGTAAACAGTGATGTTCCTCCTTCGGTGACTAAAAACACTTGAAACATCAGCCAAGATATTCCAATAAGTGCTCTGTGTGTGCGTGATTCTCACTCTGTGCTCCCGAGTGAGAATTTTTTTTTGGAGGTGCATGGCTGTCATTCTTTTCCTTCCTTGACTATCTGGTGTTCATATAAGGTATCCCATCACATGAAGTGCATATCCTTGTTTCAGGTCAGGGATTCCCCAAGTAGGCAAAGAGTAAGGATGACAGCCCTGTAAACTACAATACAAAATGTTTCTACAGGTTCACTTTATTGCTGACCCCACCACTAGACATACTTACCTTTATTCCTCAGTAGCTCCACTGGAATGCAGCTAGCAAGCAAGAGTTAGTCAAGTGTAAAGGTGCCCATACACTGTACGATCATCGTACGAGAATCGCGGGAAATCCGCAATCGTACGATAATCGTACAGTGTATGGAAGGCGTACGACCGTTTCTACTGTGCGGTCGGATGTCTTCCGTCGAACATGCAGGCTTGAAAACCCGCCGAGAATCGTACGATTCTCGGCAAGTTAGTGGCCTGCTTGTTCGACAACTGCCGAACGGGCCGGTGTGCGCACGCGCACACTGCCCGTTTGCAGTGATCGGAAGCCCTCACTGCGGTCAACGGGGCGGGCTTTTGATGATCGCAAGTACGATCTGCCTGTCCAAGATGGGCAGATTGTACAAGCTTTTAATAAGCTTACGACCATCGCAAGACAAAAGTCTTGCGATGGTCGTAAGGTGTATGGGCACCTTAAGTTCTCAGCGTGAATAATTGCTAGGCACCAGTGTTTTAATATGGGACTGAGCCACATACCTTCGAGTACTGGTTATTTGTATTTGTTTCCAGCAGCTGAACAGAAGGGAATGTGATTATTTGCTGTTGATCAGGGTGCCATTAGGAGGCACCTTTTGCTTTGTCCTTCATGGGCAAGGCACAAGTCTGCCTTAAAGTTAACCTAGCATTGCTTCAAGAGTCCAAATTATTTACACAGTAGTGATACAGAGAAAAAACATTAAGCAAAACTGGCCCAGCTCTCAAACTGGCCCAGTGGAATGGAGTAAAAGTCAAAAATATTACCTTGGTAGGAGGAGACTTCAGAGGGGATATGGCAATTTTATTGGATGCCTGTGTTATGGACTCTAGGGATGTCCCAGTGACCAGTCCACTTTCAGTGATTGCTATTGGTTTTGACTGAGTTGCAGAATTAACATGAGACAGCACCTTGCCTGTAAAAGAAAGGAAACACCTTTAAACAAAAAAAACAAAAAAATCTGTCTTAAGGTGCCCATACACCTTACGACCATCGCAAGACTATTGTCTTGCGATGGTCGTAAGCTTATTAAAAGCTCGTACGATCTGCCCATCTTGGACAGGCAGATCGTACTTGCGATCATCGAAAGCCCACAGTTGTCGAACCAGCAGGTTAGAAACCCGGCAAGAATCGTACGCTTCTCGTCGGGTTTTCTAGCCTGCTGGTTCGACAAAAGACGTGCGACCGTACCGTAAAAGCGGTCGCACGCCTTCCATACACCTTGTGATTATCATACGATCGCAGGTGTATGGGCACCTTAAGGTAGTTGTGCTTGGTGTTGCACTTCACACTGTTGGTACACTGCGGTGACATTTATTCTTAAATGACACACCAACACAGCTTGCCATCACAAATGCACTGTAAAGAACTCTGATGCAATGTGGTGCTTCGCAAAAAGAAAACAAATTAGCCAATGCACTCTTTTGGTGCATTAGGCAGCCAATTCAAATGAAGGGGCTGCCTTAACACAATGCAAGTTAACACGCATGAGCTAATGCACCACAACAGTGTGAATCCAGCCTACAAGACATAAAGAGTGCAGACACTGTAAAGAGAAACATATGGCAGTGAATTACATTAAGACGACTGTTTGAGCATACAATTATTTCTCATTCCTGGGTTTGGAAGGCTTGGACCCATTCCCATTTTTGTGGTGGAATAACCTAGGGAAAGTAAATGCAGACAAACTGATGCCCAACCTATGCATTACTATACAAGATCTTTTTAGGATACTGAAAATTTCTAAATTACATCAACTTTCCGTAAATAATGTTATCCATAGTTAAAAAGGATATAAAAATCGAATTCTATGTAAAGTCTATTAGTATATTATTCAACCAATCATGTGCAGATTATATAAGTGAACAGGAACCTGCCTTTCATATTATTGGATAATTAAAGTGAATATTCACTCAATGTTTTGCTCATACAAATACCCCGTCCTGATACATTTTCTTCCTTAGTGAGCCCTGATGAAAGGGAAACACAGTATAGAGAAGAGTGCATTTGATGGTATGAAGGTTTTCTCGGTGTGGGTACACACTAACATAGGCGTCCGAATGTCGGCCCACCCTAGTGGTACTCCATAGCCAAATGTGTACACAGACGAGCACAAGAACATACATATACACACACATATACACTCACATACATATACACGCATACGCCCACACACACATGGATAGAAAAATCCATGGGCCCGTGGGTGAAAAACAGCATGTAATTGTGATGGTTCTGTTGTGATTCATGGTAACCCTTTAGAGAATAGTGTGTATTTCGATTTCTTCGTTTAGCCCATTTGGTGTTAGAGTGTTGAGTTTGTAGTTCCAGAACGTCTCCCTTCTGCATAAGGAATGAAAGCGTTCTGAAGGGGACATGTGTGTGAGAATCTGTTCAATAGCAAATGCCCTCAAGTCCTCGATCCTTTTTTGGTGTTTGATGGAAAAATGTCTTGGTACACTATGTTCTAGGTCGCCCTTGGCAATCAGACGCCTATGGTCCCCGATTCTGGCCCGTACTGGGCGTATGGTACGGCCAATGTACATCAAACCACACGGGCAGGTGAGACCGTAAATCACATGGTTATGGGAGCATGTGATGAACTGCTTGATGGGATGTACTTTATTAAGATGGTCGAGAAATTGGGACTGGCCATGCTGTATAAATTGACAGGTAAGGCATCTGGGCTTTTTACATTGAAAAACGCCGACCCGATTATCGAAGAGGAAGTGTTTTGGTGCAACTTCGGGTGCTAGAAAAGACCTACTCGGTCCCACCCTGTTTTTTACGTTTCTCGTTTTTCTAAAATTAATCCATGGTTTGGGCGGTAATCCTGTTAAAGGAATATGTTCATCCCCATATTATTACGGAAATTGATGATATGCCTTACATAGAAATATTAAGTAGTCATGATTGCCCCAATGTCAATACTCACTCTTAGAAAGCTATGATTATCATTATAGAAATGTTATTCACATAATGTCCCCAGAACAATTAACAGATCGGAGTATGATAGCTCCTGACGATACCACCTCTGAGTGTCTCGTGAATGCGAGTCCGCCTCCCGGCGGCTAAACCTGTCACGGCAGTTTTCCGGACCGGACTCCTCCCCCCTGTCAATTTTAAAAGATTGGCCTTCTCCCGCGGCCGACAACGCTGCAAGGCTTGACAAAGAGGGTTACCCTCGAAACGCGTAGCCGTCACTTCAACCCACAGGGGTTTCTCACCCTGCAGCACTTCTCCCTTTGACCACGAGCATCGACTTTCACATTGTATTTGACTCCCCAGCACTCGCGCTGCACACCGCACTGATCCACACTCTCCAGTGCAGGATCCACCTGCCGGGCATAGTCTTTGCTCCCTGCTCCGGTTGCCGTGGCTCGGCCTGGCCAGCCGAGGACACGGTTCCCAGGGGATACCCTGGGGACGCCCTGGACACTCCAGATCGCCAGTACACAGACCATCTTCGTCATCACCACGTGAGTGCATAGACTCCACACTTCTGCCACTTTCCTTTTAACCATTCAGCTAATAGGCTGCGCTTTATTATAATTTATTATTAATATTATTCATAGAGCAATTGTAGGTAGTCGCACTCTTCTCTATACTCTGTTTCGTTTTAAATATTGCATGGGGTTCCTCTCCCATTCGTTTGAAGAGTTCATGCACACCTGCTCTTACATAGCCAACGAGTGAAATATTTGTCCACATCCCAGTGGTGCGCTTTACATATATTTTTTGTTCCTGATGAAAGGGGGTATTTGTATGAGCCCCCTAAACACATCAGCTATTTTCTATACTGTCCCCTCAAACCTACACTGAACAAATATGTGTCTAGACTGTTAAACAGAGTGTGACACTTTCATTTGCAATCCTGCAAAAACCTGACAGGGGTTCCAAGCACTCCCTACTCTACTACAATAATAGCTCAAATGTGTGCTTACATAAAATGAAGTATACTTCCCTTTAAAACATCATAAACAGGTTCAGGGAAAGCTATTGGCAGTTACCTGCAAATACAGATGATACTTGGGTAGTCTGTCCAGGCTTGCTGTTCAACGGTTTTGCAATGATCAACTTGGTAATAACTGCACCAGAAGATGAAGCAGGAAGTTTCTTAGCAATCTGTAAAATCATAATTTGCCTGAGTTATGAGGCCATTTTAGTGTACAGTGTACATTAAACACACAACTTAAATAAAATGAAGATCTTTTTAAAAAAATTAAAAAAAAACTAATCTTAACAGCAGCACCTTAAAGTGATATTAAAGTCAAAAGGGTTTTACGATATTTCAAATGAATCACTTGCAACGCAGCAGCATCCATTGTAAGTGAAATCACTTACAATGGATGCTGCTCCGCTGCAAGTGATTCACATTTATTGCGGTAATGAAGAGGTGCAGTGATCGTGTATACATGCGCACATTGTCATGACTCACATTTCACCCTTGTGTGTGTGTGTGTGTGCTAGTAAACTGTGTGTGTGTCTCCACAAACACAGCAAATCAAGCTACTTCCACCCCCTCTCCTCCAAGCTAGTAGAGGAACAGTTGTCCCTCGTGATCTTGTACTAGACAAGTTCAGGGAAGCAGAGCTGAGAGACTTGGAAGCAGCTGATCAGAAACATGATGATTGTAAGTGTTTGGGCAAAAATGTAATGAAATGCTTTGCTGGGCAATGTATATTTGTTTGCTCTGGATTCATTATTGTCAAAAAATTTGAGCATTTAATACTACTTTAAAGCCCATTTCCGGAATAAAGTTAAGCCACCTCCCACACTCTTCTAAATGATCACTGGATGAAAAAATATATAATCTTAAAGCTCTTACCTTACTCACCTAAAGCCATGGGCACATGACGTTCCAGCCCTGAGCCTTCTCTTTACTTTCGGTGGGGTCCTTCTATGGGTGTCCACATTACTGCCTACTGGCTGTCCAGCAGCAGGACCCTCTCAGGACCCAGAAGAGGAGTGACATAATCGCAAGAGAACTTTTGGGGACTGGCCATAGAGGGACCATCTGCAACACTGGGTTAGCAATCCCCCCAGCGAAATTAGGTAAATGGGTTACAGGAGGAGGGTGGGAGGGGGATTATACTTTGCCTCGAGTGGGGTTTTAATACCTTCAAATTGTCATCATTTTCCCCATCAGGCAAAACTGGTAGTCATTAAATCTACATAAAAGCCGGCATTATTAGTGCCCAATTCATTAAAGTTCCATACACGTGCGTTGGGCTGCACTGCAGTGACAAGCTGAAGTCTAATATTTCCAATAGGCTCAGTTCACACTAATGTACTGCATTGGTGTGCACTAGGTAAAAATGGAACACGCCGTATTTAAAACACAGAGCAATGCGGGTTAAGGATAAAGAAAAAAGTTATGACTTCAGCTGCAAACTAAACAATAAACTAGGCAAAGGAACACTGCAACCCAGATCAAGCAATGCAAGTTGTGTAAATACAACCTAAGTGCACAGTACAATGCAGACAATACTGGACACAGAGTTTTAATAAATCATCCAACAGGCTCTATAACATTTTTCAGCATGTTTATCTCCTTGAATGCCATGTGTGGTACACATCCTCGGCAGTCCCCCATATCCTCACGTACAAGGCAGGGATATAGACATGCTAATTAACTATTGCCAGCGGGAAAGAGGACGCTGAAAAGCCGAGGGCAACACTGCGTGAGATATCAGCAGCTAATGTAACTGCATTTACAGGCAGCATTGTGCAGACATAGCTAAGTTGGCCTTTCTCATGCAGTTTACACTATGCCAGAAGCTGAGAAACATTTGTAAGTTCATAAAATGACTTTCATTTCCTGATAACCAGTGTTTATGTAACTGAAATAGAAACACAAGTTGCAATCAGTCAACTGCATAAAAAAACTAAACAGGAGATCTTATAATGTTTTGTGTGAGGAAAGGCTATTGGCTGCAGACAATAAGATTTCATGCATATCTGCAATTTGGACAGGTTAACAAAACCCCAAATAGAAATGTTTCAAAGGCTAAAAATGTGCAATTGAGATCAGATGAACATAGAAATATATTGGAATTTTCTGTTATGTATAGCTATATTATTTCACCTCCTGTGACACTGCCCACCCATATAACTAAATCACTGAACAGTGAAATATAGCTTTCAATGTCAATATAAACTTTACCTGCACATTCTGTACTTGCTGTGCCTGAAGAACAGAAGACTTGGTAGTGGAACTGATGAGTTGAGCAGCGGATAAGGAGGACATGCCCAATACAGGCTTGACATCAGAACGACTCCCAATAGTAACCAACTTGATCTGCTGTGGTGCCCCCTTGCCATCTACATGCTGGAGAGGAGTGGCCTTCTGGGTACTTGACATCTGATTTTGAGGAATCAGTACAATGGGATGGCTTGACTTCCCTAACGTCGTTACGATCAGCTTTTCCTGCTTCACAAATCTATTACTAGAGGCGACCTCAGAAGCCTTGTTAAGAATGATTTGCCCGGGCAACTGCGTCCCCAACTTATGTATTCCACTTTGTAGAACAGTTTTCATAGCTGTAGCGGAAGGTCCCGGGCTGGGTTTTGAAGCAACGCTTACTACTGCCAGGTGACTGGCATGATTACTAGTGGTTGGGAGAGTTTGCTTAACAAAAGAAGTACTAACACATTCTCCACTGCTATTTACTTCTACTATTTCTTCCAGGTCTGTTTCCATAGGCACCTCTTCGGCAATGGGAGAAGAGATTGTAATGGCTTCAATGCTCTCATCATCCATGTCTCACTTTCTAAGATAAGAAAGAAGGAGAAGATATATTTTAGTGGCCAAAGTTTTAGGTTAGACAAACCCTTTACCCCCCTCCCCTAAACACTTTAGATTAAAAAATAAAGAAACCAGCAATATTTAATGTGCAAAATGCTCGTATTCATGTATTTTCACCAAAAACCTGACAAGGGATCTAAGCCTTCCCCATCCTACCTCAAACTAAAGAAACAACATTTGGGGCTGGACATACACTTTCAGTTTAGTTTTTTCATTACAGATTCCTACATTTAAATGATCTCAAAAATCTGCTAGTATAACTGCATGCATGAACGCCATATTTCTATAATCCTTTCACAGTTTCCGGGAAACAATAGATGTCAGATCTGTACTACGTCACCTAATCTAAGCAATCCAGTCATATTCTATTAGACCCTCTCACTGCTAAGATGCTGGTAGAATTTGTTCACTTACCAGACCAAAATCTCACTGTGGATTGACAGTTTAAAGTAGAACTTCTCTCACCAGCCCAGGTAGAAGACTGCAGGAAAAAGGTTGGTGCATGGATCTTTTTAAAGTAAAAAGAGTTTCAGGGGGTGGGGGGGGATTATGTCCCCATTTATTTATTTTTTTTAACAGGTGTAATTATGTTCCCATTTATACCAGATCAGTTGCGATCCGTTTTTCAACGAATGTCAACACAAGGTAAGCCAAAAAAATGAATGGGGGTGAATAGGACCAGTTCACACTACTACCTTCCATTGTATTACATTGCGCTAAAGAAAAAAAAAAAAAGGAGAACATGCTCTACTTTTTTTTTTCCACCACAATGTAACGCAAGACAGTAGTGTGAAGTAGCCCCATTCACTCTTTCAGTGTCCTTGAGTTAGCATTCGTTGATAAACAGATCGCAATGCAACAGATCGGAAGGAAATCAGAAGGTACAAACTCAAGTCAACGGAGCCTCCCTTGACTTGCAATTACCTTCCCATTTCGGTGTGAATGGACCCTAAATACTGGAATTCCGCTTTCAGAGTAGGAGGGTACAGCCTCTGAGCTAAAGTTTTTTATTCAGTGTACAGCACTGCTAAACTAAAGGTACCCAGAGACACAAGCTTATAAAGGCTGCATTTGGAAAATGTGTCTAGGGGATACCACTTGGTCAGCAAAAAAGAATCAACTGCCCTCCAAAAATGTGTGCAACTAACTGCTAAGAAGGCCAAGAGAGCCTGCAACTCATGAACCGGAGCCCACACAGCAATAAGGACTCTCTCTGCCCCAATGAAAGCAAGTCCCATGTTCTCCTATACCAGGAAGCATCAAATATGTCACAGTACTACCCTGGGTGAACTGAGTGAGTAAACAGGGAAGGAAAGGGGAGTATGTGAAGCTTGAGGACAGTAGCAGTTAAAGCAACTGTCATTACAGAAGTACAAGTGCTGCCATTGCTGGCCTCTTTCTGATGCCAGGCTGTGTCTGATATCAGTATTTGTGAGTCACAAAGCCAGAACCAGCAGTGATTGTTAACGTAAGCTGGCCATACACTAATACATTTTTTCCTGAACAAAAATTATCTAACAGATTCCTCCATCCAGCCAAATCTCCCGCTACAGCTATTCTAACGGTGGCAGGTGACAAATTTCTACCTGGCTCCTTTGATCATCATATCAAAGGATGACGGGTAGGCGTCAGCCAACAGGGCTCCAAGACTTCATCAAGAAATTTGCTCCGTGTATGAACAGCTTTACAGGGTAGGCCACATAAAATACAGTAAACTCTCAGTTATCAAAGGCCAAATGGTTCCCACTTGTTTAAAGGAGAACTATGAGGTGAGTGAAAATCACTCACCTCATAGTTCTAGCCTACCTGTGACAATGAAACTGTCACACGTCGGCTCAATAGATCCGGAAGTGAGCGAACACATACCGTCGCTCGCTCACTTCTCGAACTATCCCTGCAGAGTGCCGTGACTGTCAATCACGGCTCCCTGCAGGGATTCCCCCCCCTGACTGGCGGAACGGACGGGGGAGGCACAGCTGGCTCTGCCTCTAGATAGGCAGAGCCAGCCGTCAATCCCGCAGCTGGGTGGATCTCAACAGTAATGTCAGGATCCGTCCCTGCTGCTGCGTCTCACTATACCGCGAGCTACTGAGCTTAGGGTGACGGGAGGGCGCTAGTTTGTGTCCTCCCGTTACCCTTAGGAGAACTATGGGGAAAAGCCCTGACCCCCATAGTTCTCCTTTTATCGATGGTCAGCCATAACCTTTGTATTTATATAGAAAAATATAAATGTTTTATTAAACCCCCACAAAGGGCCCCAATCATATATATGTACAAATATCCAATTCTATAAAAGTCTCAGTTATCCAGTATTCAACTAACCAAAACTCTCATCTAACCAGAAAAAAAAACTCTTTGTACTCATTGTTCTGCAACATGTATTATTCGGGAAATGATCGTGTGTCTATTTGTCTTCATTTGCTTTTGATTACTGCTTTTAAATATTAATATGAAGTCAATACAGAGTTTATGGTATGTATTGGGTATTGCATTAGTTAGACCTATTTTAATAGTAGCTCTCAAGCAACCAGAAACTACATTTATCCAGAATCGACCAATCCCCATGAATGCCGGACAATGGGGAGTTTACTGTATTTACTATATGTGATGCTACAGAAAACTGTCAGCTGTAATCAGAGATTGTAACTTTACAGCAGTGATTGCAGACTGAAGCTGTGATTTAGGAGACAGCAGGAGACTAGAAACAGATTACAAAAAAATTGCTAAAGATCACTACTATTAAAGGCCCCTTTATAAATCAATGCTCTGCTTCAAACACCAAGGGCAGCAGGTTGGGCACCAGGGCTGTAAACTATAGCCAGAAATTCCTTATATTTATACTCATTCACTCAGTATTGACAGCCAGGAAACAAACACCTTTAAAACAAGAGCTTAGCAACGGCAGCCTCCTTTGGTTTCCCATGGCAGATCCCCTTTGTGTGAGACTGTTGCTTCGCAGAGAGAAAGCACAGGTTGACTTGAAGTGCACAAACACTTTTTGTCAAGTTAATAATATGTTTATTTATACAGATCTATACACTGGACACAAAGATCTCTACACTGGGCACAAACATAGAACTCATTTTAGGTTCAACGTCGGTTGTAGATGACCCCATGATCACACACTTGCTCCCCCAGAGACCATACCACCTTATCACTTATATGCCCCCCTAGTCTATGTGCCCCTGTCACATGCATCCCCAGTCTGTGCATCCTTATACCTATCCCTAAAATATCCTCCTCATTACATTAACTTTTAAAACATATGCCCCATCATAACATGCATACCCATAGACACTGCCATCTCATTACATACATGCGCCTTCACTCTGCCCCCAGTTTGTGCCCTCTCATTATATACGTGCCCCTAACCTGTGCCCCGTCATCACATGCATGCCCCCTGACATTGCTACCACTTTACTCCGACTCCTCTGCTCACTTAATTGCCCCCCGCAGGACAAACCTGCTGTGGAGCAGCTGCGAACTGACTGAAGACTTCCCGGGCTCTGCTCAGATCACGGGACAACAAGCACCGCCTCCTTTCTCCTTCTACTTCCTGGAGGAACAGGTCTCTTCTCGCGAGACTTTCTCTACTTCCGTAATCTGGCGGGCGGTGTGTGACGTCAGGCTTTGAGGCGTCCCCGGCCCGTAGGTTCTGCGAGAGGACGATGTTAGCTGACTGACTGGCTGGCTGATAGAGGGTGTGGGGTGCAAATTCAAACTGAGTTTCATGTTCGTGTACACCTATACACAGGATAGGCTTTACCTAAGCCTCTATGGTCTTCGTTAAGCTGATCACGTTTAACTATAAGATCGAGCTGTGTAGACTCTTACTATGGTCACAGACACCAGCAAAGGGTCACTGAGATACGAAGCTGTGTGCACACTATCTGCTGATAGACTTCAGATGTCATCTAGGGACATGCCTGAAGAGTTATTGGGGGTAATTTACTAAAGACAGAAAGGCTGTTCACTTTACAGAGAATACCCAATCAAATGCAGGGAAAATAAAGTATTTTTGCTTGCACGTGATTGGATGATGCAAGTCATCAGAGCTTCACCTCATTCACTAACCTAATGGAAAATCCCCTTCCCTTTGACTTTAGTAAATTAAGCCCATAGACTGGAGGCATGCAGAATGAGATAGCTAGAGATTTAAGATACACACTGATTGAAATGTTCCTGGTTCAGCAGGAATCAGCCAAAGTTTGACCTGTGGGTGGATTTATCTCAACAAATGTCCATCAATAGATTAACTTGTGTTAAAGGGACATGTGGGAAAATGATCACCCAATCAGCTGCAGTCTCTGTCAAGGTACTGCATGTGCCGCTGTCAGAATACAATGTGGGAGATTCATTCATCCACGCTATTGGCATGGATGGAGGAATCCCTAAGTCTTGGGGTTTTTTTTTTTTAATTCAAGCAAAACAAATGACAAACATACTCATCAACTCATAATCAGTTGATGAGTGCGTTTGCCATTTGTTTTGCTTGACTGATTTGGTGCAGTGACGCATGGGGGTCTCAGCTGCCGTTGTGATGTGCGGGGTCCCTTGTGTGTCCCTGTGCCTTTATGGGGGTTGGGCTACCTCGTGGCAAACCTGCACCCAATTTTATCTTTTGCTACATGTGCTCCAGGATGGAGACTCTCATAGGTTAGAGTTAGGACCGCACTACATAGAGGTGCCTTGGTGCGGCTGTGCGGCTTTCCCATATTCTGTAGAAGACGTGTATCTAAACCTCTGTTTTTAACCTTAGCGGTTAGACAGGTTTTTTGTTTTTTTTGCATGCTGGCTGCTAGCAAAACGTTTGAAAAAAACAAAACCTTTCCCTGCATTGTTATGAAACATTAATAATAACCCAATTTTTTGGTAAAATATAAAAAACGGGGTCACGTTAGATAAATAGACACCGAAGATGCCAAGCCTTAAAATGACGCACCCTTGCGAAACCGCAAAAAACTACAATACCCAAAATTGGCCATAGGCGACAATTTAAAAGGTTTTAACGCTCATAAGTTTAGTGTTATCAGTGATTGGTGGGCCTAGAATTATTGCTCTCACTTCGATGTTTACAGTGATATGTAACGTGCGGCGCAATAGTTGTTTTTGCGCGTAGAAAATGTTTAATTTTTTTATATGTGACTTTAATTTTTGTAACCCCCTATGTGATAGCACAGGCACACTGACAGGTCCTCTTTATGGAGACATCAGGGGTCTCTAAGACCCCTAATGTCACCTAGGGACCCCCAAAGGAGTTGATAAAGCAGAGATCTGCTGTAGCAGCCAGAGAAATGACAGCTGAATGCGGAAGTGATGTAATACACACCACTAACGCATTCAGAGATCAGCAGGTGGAAGAGTGCTGATCTCCCGCCAATCTTAATGCAGAGAGCCACTGAGCCACTCCCGGGCTCGTAGAGGGGACAGTGGAGCCCGGGCTGTTCGAGTGTTGGGCACAATACAAGTGATTGGAGGGGGCGGGCGCGAGAAGAAAAAAAATATTATTTACAGCGCCCCGCAGTAGGGAGCTAGCCATTTGTCTGTTTATTTACAATGGGCGGATGGCAAGTAGTTAAGGATTTGCTGGGACTTGCTGGTGCAAGCCCAGTGTGTCCAAGCCCATGCAAAACTGTTGCTGACACCCCACCCTCCCTCCCATCTCAATCAGTTGTGGCAAGGGTATTCCCCAGCCCTTTGTGATGTGGAGATTGTCCCCACAGCATCTGACCGGGAGGTCAGTGACAGTTTTGTGTGGGCCTGGGTGAACTCCAGCAAGCTGTGTGCACTGAACCCCCACACATCATTTCTAGAGATCCGTGCTATAACAGCCTTTTTACAAATCATTGCTTTCACATTCGTTTTTCCCATGGCCCCTGTTACAAATTGTGCCACTTTGTATTCTGTACTGTTCCTTTAGATCCTACATGTGGGGTTCCGCTGCTTATTTTGTCTGCTCATTTTGTTTCTAAAACATAATAGAAAATATTTAAATATTATACAGCATTCATACAGCAACAACAACGTTTTACAATGTAAGGAAGACATTACAGTTACAATTCAATTCAAAGACAAGATGATTAGGAGAGCCCTGCTCGTGAGGGTTACAATAAGTCCATCACATAGGTAAATAGAGATGGAAAAAAAGTGTGCCAGATTTGATAGTTTTCTTAGTAAGTTCTATTATAAATGGTCAGAGGGGAAAAAGGGATGATGAGCACAAAAACTAATTTATAAACCATACGCCCAGCATAAAGCTAGAGATAACAGCCACCTGTCTCCATCATTTGTTCAAGCACCACGTGTTACAGAAATGGCACTCATGCACAGTAGGGTGTTTTCTGGAGACATATGAAGGGAACCAATAATCTACTTGAAAGAATGTAAGGGACTAATGCTTTCAGTGAGGAACTATAGCCCAATTAAAGTTCTCTAGGCTGGGGTGTACTACCTTTCATAGAAAAACTTCCAGAAATACTGCATAAAGTTCATGGATACTGCTCTAACTTACTTGGAATAGTTATTCAGGGACATTGTTATATTTAAAACAAAAATGTGAGTTGACACCATATTCCTGCATATATAGCTTCTTGAATACACCCAAATTCACATACATACGAAACCTCTATAAATCCAGTTGTCCATTTTAAGATAACACATTATTATTTAGAACAAAAAAACTAACTGAAGAATTGAAACTGATCATATGCAGTTATATAAACTGTTACCGTCTTTAAGAATTAAAGAGCATTTGCAGGTAACAAGTAAAGCCAATCTGTGAGCTACTATTCAGCAAACACTACAGCTAGGTTTAAATCAGAAAATTCCTTTAATTACCATAATCTGAGTTCTTTGTAATCCAATGTAACCCTCAGAGCCACCGATAGTGTAGTGTGTGAAGCCTGTGCTTGATATCTTTCATTCTGATGCCTTTATCATGAATCATATTCAAATTTTTAAAGCAGGTTTGAGTCTTATGAATTTGAAAAAATCTTCATGTGTGCTTTCTACATTGGGCTTCTTCTATGACAGAACCAGTAAGGAGCCTGCAGTGGGTTTGTTTGGGAATAACTCTCCTCCATACCAAGCAAGGATTCTCAGATCTCCAGTTGACCAGGAAAAGTGACTTGTGTGGGCACTACATCAATGCCTTGGTGAAAAGTATAGAATGGAAAGGTTGTGCAGCCATATGCATTTCAAGGCATAAAGTGGCACTAAACTCAGGGGTTAAATCTTAAAAATGCATTCAAGAACACTATTAACAAAAATTTTACTTATTTGTGTATCACTCGGCTGTAGATTCTCAAATCATCTCTGAATTAGTGCTGACACTGTCCTTACTTCTGGAGGGTGGCTACTTTTGTTCCCCATGGTCACTTTGTGTGTTGTAAAGTAGCCACTGCTCCCTGATCACTCCTGTGATGGACAACAATCTCGTGTTTAGTTTACTAATTTGTATTTAGATTGTAGTTTATCACAGGAGTGAGCTTGGAGCGGTGGAGACTTTACAACACACACAGGGACCATGGGGAACAAAAGTAGCCACCCTCCAGCAGAAAGGACAGTATCCACACAATTTATTGTTATTATTATTATTTTTCAGGCTTTATAAATTCAGAGATGATTGGAGGATCTACAGCTGAGTGATGCACAAAAAGCTACATTTTTGTTAACAGTTAAGGTATTTTTAAGATTTAACTCCTGAGTTTCGTGTCACTTTAATTTTCAAGTTGAACTGGAGTGTAGCTTTAGTAATGTAAGAAGAAAAGGTTGTGTGAATATATCCAGTTAATCTCATACAATTGACTTGATATGAAAACCAGTAGAGCGAAAACTGCCTATAGCAAACTTCACAGATGTTCATTATTCAGTGCCTGTTGACAGATTTTACATGTTGTTCTTGGCATTTGTTACATCTTTGGCACCAACACAAGTTTATTTAATAGGATCAGGGCAGCTTTATAAGTCCAGCAGAAAATAATCTGATATGGTCATTGTATACCGAGGCTCAAAGTGCAAGCATGGCTCTCATTCTAGAGTTTATAGCTCTTTTTTGCATTACCATTTACGCGTACCTGGAAGCATTTGTGAAATTATTTATCCCACAGAGAAAGAAATCTGTTAGTGAAGACATCGTACTGATTACTGGATCTGGACATGGCATTGGGCGGCTCGTAGCCCTCGAGTTTGCCAGATTACAAAGCATTGTGGTGTTATGGGATATCAACAAGGTAAAACAAATATTGTTTCAATTCATTTTAGAACATGAGATAACATATAAATGTGTTTACAAATATAAGTACAGGCTGTATGCATAATAGTACAATTGTATCTTCTCAGCATTTTAGATATATGAATAAATGGTCAAACATATGTCTATGAAAATTAGATTGTGGATCAGAGGTTTCCTATGTACGTCTATAAAGCAGGTTGTAACATACTTTCTAAAGGTGAAGTGAAGAATTGAGGTGTAAGTATTTTTACAAGGTGAAAAGACTGCTCAGTCTGTTCAAAAGCAATAAGTAACAACCTCAGGAAAAGATTAAGTTGACACTAAACTCAGGAGTTAAATCTTAAAAATGCATTCAAGTATCTTAACTATGAACACAAATGTATCCTATTTGTACATCACACAGCTGTAGATCCTCTAAATTTGTGCTGACACTGTCCTTCCTTCTGCAGGGTTGCTACTTTTGTTCACCATGTTCCCTGTATGTGTTGTAAAGTAGCCACCACTGCAAGCTCACTCCTGTGATGGACTACAATCTCAGGTTTACTTTACTAATTTGTAGTGAGATTGTAGTCTGTCACGAGAGCAAGCTTGGAGCGGTGACTACTTTACAACACACACAGGGACCATGGAAAAAAAAAGTAGCCACCCTCCAGAAGGAAGGACAGTGCCAGTATAAGTCATATATTCTTGCTATGCAACCCATATTAAAGGTGTAACATGAAACATTGACTTTGCCTTTAAGTCAATCTATAAAAAAAAGTACTTTGACCATATTTGTAGCAGATAAAAAGGATAGGTTGGTTCAATTCTTTGTGCATAACATTTACCTAAAAAAGACTACATTTTACCATGCCTTTAAACATGTTTATTTATTTTTCCATTATTATTAGCTGTTTTATGTTTATAAGATTTCAAAGGTTAACAAAATGTGGAGGCAGTGACTCCTGATAAATGGCACAAGATCTGCGGTTTATTTGTAGTCCCGAAAATTATTAAACAAGTTAAAAAAGCAAACTTTATTCTGGCACCAAACATATGCCACAGTAATCTTTGGCAGGAGAAAGGTGCTCTCTGGTTGTATGCTGCAGGTTGACAAATCTGTATGTATTCAAAGTTTGAATTCCTGTCAGATATAAAAAACAATATATTATATTGACCACTAAGGGCGTAGGGGCTTATTTTCAGTTGAACTGTTAAATTCTGGAACTCGCTGCTACAAGCAGGAGTATCAGCAGAGAGTATTGAATCATTCAAAAATCAATTAGATACCTTCCTAAGAGACATAACATACAGGGGTACAGGTACTCTTAAAAACTGGATCACACAGGGACTCGTGTACACACACACACTCATGCACAATCACACACAGACACACAAAGGTTGAACTTGATGGACCTGTGTCTTTATTCAACCTCAAATACTATGTAACTGTGTAACATATTCACATTCATAAACCAAGCAGACCCAGTCCAAGTCTAACTCTACCACCCATGCCAGTTACTATTTTAACGAGAAATAGCTACAGGCACAGGTTCTGTGCCTAATTAACAAAGGGATCATAGCAGTTTTAAAGGAGAACTATGGGGTTAAGTCTTTTCCCCATAGTTCTCCTTAGGGTAATGGGAGGACACAAACTAGCGTCCTCCCGTCACCCTAGGCTCAGTATACCGCGAGCTGTAGCTCACGGTATACTGAGACGCCGCAGCTGAAGCGGATCCCGACAATTGTGCCGGGATCCGCCCAGCTGCGTGACTGACAGCTGGCTCTGCCTATCGAGGGGCAGCGGCCAGCTGTACCGCCCCCTCCCCGGTCCGATCCACCAGTCAGCGCTGGCAGATCGGAGCGGGGAGGGGGGAATCCAGTCCCTCCCCTGTCACGGCAGAGAGCCGTGACAGGATCGGGAGGTGAGCGAACGCCGGTATGTGTTCCCTCACTTCCCGATCTACTGAGCCGACCTGTGACAGTCTCATTGTCACCGGTCGGCTAGAACTATGTGGTGAGTGAAAAGCACTCACCTCATAGTTCTCCTTTAAGTATAGAACATTGTAACTGATTCCCGACAGATTGGGCCTGGCATATAGGATGTGTTCGGTCTGCTGGTAATCCTGCAGACCGTTCACATGCCTCTCTCTACCCATGCAGTGGACACATTACATGGGCAGAGCCTGCATATAGGAACGGAAGCTCTGGCAAATGCAAGGTTAACAGACTTCCACTACCCTCTCACTCTCAGATGATCCTGGGAAGGGGAGGTGTTGGCAGGCAGAGGGAGCCAGAGCAAGCAGCTCCAGCTCTCTATGCTGAATCTGGCACAGACACAGCATAGAAAACAGAGTAGATCAATTGTAATTAACTTCCATCTCCTTAGCTAATTAGGAGCAAGTCAGTTTAGAAGAGCTTTACGCCTTCACCTTAATTCCTCCTAATAAGTGTACATACTGTAAAGTGGACAGGCTCAACTGGTAGTGGCAGAGGTAAACCATGTACCAGTCAGGGACACCGAGGAGCAGTCCAAGCAGGTTCGTTGCGCACTTTTATTCAGCAAGGCAGCAAACAAACGCAGATTCAGTGCAATAAGGTTCTGCACAGTATAAAACAAATAAAACATCTGCTTGTCCAAGCTACTAACTAAACTCAGACCCGGTTCCTGACTAAGAGGGTGCCCCCTAATAGGTTAGCCAAAACAAAACCAGCAGTACATTTTTAGTGTTCTGTAAGCACTTAGCCTTTTCAAATAGCTGCAGGATCCCCCAGCAAAGAGAGCCTTGAGCATTAGTCAGCTCACATATTTAAAGGTCTGTGCACAGCTGAGACTAATAACAAGGTCTGGATACCAGGTAAGAGGGGGATCTGCTAATGGAGGCTTTGGGGTTGATTTACTAACCTTTTAAACACACCACGAACGTGTATACACCTCTGTAGTGTGTTCCCTCCCAGCATGATCTATGGGAGGAATCGAAACACCTTTGTAGTGTGTACACACCCAGCAGGTGTGTTGTGCAAAGCCCTGCAATGAATTGCAAGGTAATGTGGTGTAAATTATCTCTATGTTATGTTGCTTGCGTTGATGAATGCAGGAATGTAAATGCATGAGCTAACCATTTTTGTCTAAACTGTGAAGCAGCATTATATATGCATCATGTGCATGATTTTTCCATATATGGCATTAGTGGAAATATGCTTTTAGAGACTTTTTGGTTGATAAATACGTTTTGCTGTGTGAAAATCACACACACCTGGTGTGTGTGTGTGTTTAGGTTAGTAAATCACCCCCTTTATCTCATCCAAAGTTCTACAAAGCCTTCTGGCTCCAGGACCCAGATTAGAACTTTTTAAATCCTGAGAAATTAAGTTTTCAGTCATCAATCCCGGAGCCCTTCACCATGTGTAGGTGAGAACCTAGGTGACACATACTGTATAAACCATTCACAATCCTGCCAGCTCACAATTTCTAAATTGTGTCTTTAAGAGGGACCTCCAGATCTGCCTCCAGGTATACTTGCACCCAATATGTTCTTTGCTATTTATGCTCCAAGATGGAGGCTCTCATAGATTAGAGTTAGGACCACATTGCACAGAGGAGACTTGATGAAGCAGTGTGGCAACTAACTCCTCTGTCTTTAACGCACGTTGTGAGGCAGTGTAAGCTTTATTTGCAGGCTGGCTGGTAAGTGTGCTGGGAAATGTTTGTGTTTGTACTGTGTAAAGCCTTTCTTTGGGCACCTTACTTTGAAAGTTAGTTATAAATTGATGAGTGTGGTTGCCATTTGCTTCACTTGTTTGTTTTAGCTTCCTCTAGTGACCTAAACAACAGCACCAACAACAGAAAAGCAAGAATAAGACAGTCAGGCCTAAATTGCTTTACACAGTACTGTCAGTCTAACACCAGAAACTTGCTTATAATAGGGGATAGTACAGGAATGACCTAATTCGAGAACTATTAAGCAGGCTAGAATGGGTCCTGGTACAAAAAGTACACTTAAATACACTCCAGGACTAAACTATGCTGTCCGACAACCTTCTCTCTCTCATTTTCAAAGCTTAACTGAACAAACAGAAGAGAGAAGTTGATTGGTTCCTGTGGGCAACTGCTCCAGATTCTGTCTGCTCTAGTTTTGATAAATCCCCCCTGTTTATTTAGCTATGTATCTAGAATTCAGCTTTATTTATTCAGCTGGAATTCTGTTATACTAGGTTGTTTTAGCCGACCCATCTCTGGTGCCAACGTGCACGGCCCAAATAGGTAATCAATCACAATTTGGTTTTTGATAAGCATGCGATATAGACTGATTATAACAGAAGCAGAAAAATATTCACACGAAAGCTATTCAACACTCTTAATCACTTTTTTTTTTTCCATGGCTAAATAAGATTAGTGAAGCATGAGTAAAGAAATCTTGTTTAGCAATCAGAACATTTAAGGACTAAGTTAATGCAGTACAAAATCAATATTTGTTTGAGTAACAGATTTATTTTATTTCCTTACCAAATGCTGATAATAAACCTGCAAGAGGTATAAAGTGCAGGGTCCTAGAGTTGCCTGAATATTAGGGCTGTTACTGATTAGCATTTTCGTGTTCGATTAATCAAAATTTGTTTTAATTGATTAATTATAACGCACATACAGATCCAACAAATTTGGCCTATACACATACAGCACAGCAATGAAGTAATAAAATGAACTGGGATCACACTAATCCAGCACGTTATTAATCTCACGTGCCCCACTCAATATGGCCGAAGATTCAGTGGGGCAACTCAGAATAATAATGTGCTGGATTAGTGTGATCCTAGTTCATTGTATTATCATCGGGTAATGAAGGGAAGGGGAGGAGTCCAGTGACGTCACGGACATTGACGTCACCGGACTCCTCCCCCTTCCCTTCGTTAGCCTACAGAGCCACTTGGGGAAGGGGGGAGGAGTCCGGTGACGTCGATGTCTGTGACGTCACTGGATCTCCGATGAGACTCCCGGAAGCCGGCGGAGAGTTGGGTATT